ATCTGCTGGGAGAGCTGCTGGGAACAGCCACAGCTCGGGGCAGCTCGCAAACCGCCTGCGCTGTGGGGGTAGACTGGGTTTGCCTAAATGCCAGAAAGTCCAAACCCAAGCAAGGCCTCTTGCTGAAACTGTGCCGGGGCTGAGGACCCTCACAGTGTCCTCTGCGTGCCCACAGCCCTCACAAAGCGCTCGTCCCCACTGCCTGCGTTGCGTAGAGCTGTAAAGGACCAAGGGGCGAGCGGGCCTGGCGACATGAGACGTGGGGGCAGAGGCAGGGGGGTCACCCCGAGCAGTCAGTGCCGGGATTGCACACCAGTTAAAGTGACAAAGGACGAGTGTCCAGCATCGGCTACTCCGTCTTCTAGAGCGGGAGCACGCGTTTGCATGGAAAGCAAACAGGGAAGGGGGCACCGAGACCACCTGGGAGCTAAAAGGTGTCGCAAGGGCGACCACAGCTGAAACCTGCAGCCCATTTCAGGCTGTGCGGCGGGAGCAAAGGCTGCCAGCACCCCGCTCACCGGAGGGCTGACCTGTCCCATCACCCGTGGGGCAGGAACAGTGCCAGCGGGCACCCTGTCCCTTCCCAAGCTGCAGCGGCAGCAGAGCATCCAACCCCAGCCGGCAAAGCAGATCCGTCTGCCTCCTGCCATTGCCCCCGCTGGCACAGATCGCAGCAGGGGCCTTGGGAGAAGCTGGCGGGACACAGCTCACGGCTCTATCCCATCCCTGCCCTCCCTGTGGGCGGTGGGCTCCCTGCCTCCATCTTGGGGCACGGGCAGAGCGGTGCTGAAGCCTCCCCTCAACGTGAGGGCAGGACGGGTGAGGACAGGCTCTCCTTGGGGCCCGGACCCGCACAGACCACACAGCCCAGGCTGCAGCCCCTCGCTGGGGGCCCAGAGCACGAGCCCTCTCCCCTGATCTCGGGGCAGCGCGCCCGCCCCCGCCAGCCCTTCAGAGGCAGCCAGGACCCCCGCAGAGGGCAGGCCAGGGTCACGGCACAGACGTGGCGTTAATCCGCCGGCACCGCCAGCCGGGTGACGTGTGAGAAAGAGGCAGCCAAGCCTGGGGCATGGCAAGGCTGTAAAACAACTCCCGTGGCCCCCAGGCCCCCCTGCGGGGCAGGCGCTGCTCGGAGAGTGGAGGGAGGGTACGGAGGGATATCCACTGTGCGTGCACGCTGCCCACTGTGCGTGCACGCTGCCCCATCCCGCGCGGAGGAGCCGGAGGGGAGCAGGCAGGGGATCGGTGACCGCCAGCTTTGTGCAAGGGGCCGGAGCAGCTCCAGGTCCCACTGCCACCCCCGAGGGCAGAGCAGGCAGGCAGGGAGGGAAGAGCCGGGTGCCGCAAGCTGGTCCATGCCTCGCCGTCCCCCAGAGGTTGTATGCTCCTCGAGAGGAACTGGCATGTGGAAGAAAGGGGTTGCGGTGCTCCCCGGCAGAGGAGAGGGAGGAGGGTGATGGCTGTGCAGACCCCCAGCTCCTGCACAATGCCTGCCCCGGCCGGGGACACATGGGCAAGCGTGGCAGAAGTGCTGCAGCAAACTCTTCCAGAGCATCTCCCAAACCAGCTCCGGTCCCATGGAAAGGGAGCAGAGAGGAATTCTCAGCAGAGATAAATGCAGCAGGGCACAGGGCTGGAGCAGAGCAATGAGAGGACCGGAGGTTTTCCTGTGCGGCTAGGACAGGACCCTCGGGAAGGGGAGAGGCGGCCTTGCAGGAGGGAGGGGGTCTGGGCAGGGGTTAGCCTGGCTTGCAGGGACCTGTGGGGCTTGGCAAAAGGGCTGGGGCTGGTGAGGAGCCCTGCCAGTGCAGCCGGTGTCACTGCACCGAGCAGGAGGGGACAAGGCGGGCAGCGGTCAAGTTCCGTGAAGGCAGCGCTGGCGTGCTGGATCCAGCTGAACCGCCACCGACAGCCCCCGCCGTAGGCACAGGAGAGCTCAGCAGCACCAGCGGGCGAGGGAGACAGCAGGTCACAGGGGGTTTCATTGAACAGACCTTGTGCGGCCACGGGTGCCTGGCTCAGACCTGCCGAGCGGCTCTGAGAGCGGGTCGCCACCAGCTGTTAATGCTCTGTCCCTTGGAAGGCAAAATGCTGGCAAAAGTTTTTAAGGGCAGCCTTGACCGAGCGGGTTTGTGATTCAACACTAAGTGAGGAACTCACAGCCTTCGTCGGGGTAAGAGTGGCTGGGAGGAGGGGGAGAGGAGGAGCAGGATGAGGGGTTTGGGCAGAACCAGCTGATCCTGTCACCCACTGCCTGCCTGCCTGCGCCCCTGGGTTTTATTGCTGTTGTAGCAAAACCGCTGGCAGCCACCTCTCCTGCGGCGCAGAGTGCCACGCTGGATACAGCCGAGGGCAAGCGCAGGAAGGGCTGAGCCAAGCCCTGCACCGGGTGCTCTGCGCAGAGCACGGGGAAAGCCGCCCTCGCTCCGCCGTGGCTGGCAGTGCCCTGCCCTGACGGGTCTGCAGAGGTGACTGGAGCTGCAGGGCACCCAGAGCCGTCCCGCGCTTGGAGCAGACGCTCCAGGCTCCAGCACAGGCGCGGGTGAAGCTACCCCAGGGCAGCGTCAGGGCTGAGCCTCCCCGGCCCCACGGCCGAGCCCCCCTGTCCTTGCCCCAGGCACAAGAAGAGCTGGGGAGCTCAGTGTCCTTATCACAACAGCCTTCCCCACCAACGCTCTCCACGTTCCTCCTGCCGCGACCCAGAGCAGGGTCACCCTGCCACCAAGCCCACGGGACAGCCAGGGCTTGGCGTTAAGTCAGCGGGGACTGGAGTCTGGACCTGCCTGCAGGTTTTGTGCGAGAAGACCCATAATTTGGGCATGGGGTGGCACGTCAGCGGGGAGCGCTGGGCTGTAGGGACGGCGACGGTGCCGGGAAGCAGAGGGCTCCATGCGCACTCCCAAAAGCCTTCTGCAAGCGCGGAGCCGTGAGCGGACGGCGAGCTGCCCAGAGCCATGGGCAGAGCCCAGGAGCTCAGTGCCTCGCCCCAGCACCGTCCCCCCGCTCCCCCCACGGTATCTACAAGATGGGACGGCTCCGCAGCCCTGTAATTTACTGTTCCTGCTGCACTTAATGGCAGCGGAAAGGCAAGGTGATAGGGGAAAAAATATGAGGCGGGATTTTCCGAATCCCCATTTCCTCTCCAGACAGCACAAGAACTCCTGGGGCCTGAACATCTGGGAAATTTAATTTTACCATTTCTGAGCTGAACTCCCCTTCCCCTCCCCTCCCCACCCCCGGTAACAAAGGAAGAGTCAGAGCAGGGGCCGCACGTGCAGCCGTGGGGGAGGCTGCACCGCAGCAAGCCCTGCAGACCAGCCCAGGGACGTGGCCTCGGCCGGGCCACGCTGGCAAGCCACAGGCCAGCAGAGGAGAGGTGCAAACATCGCCTAACACCTGGTCCCTGGGCAGAGAGACCTGCACCCGGCCTGGTCAAACCCCAGACGGCCAGGAATCCCATCAAACTGGAAATGAGAAGCACCAGCTCTGCCTGCGCACACCTGGCTGGGGCAGTGGTGGTGCTGGTGGTAATGGTGGTGCTACTGGTGGTGGTGGTGTTGGCATTAGTGATGGTGGTGCTGGTAGAGCTGCTGGTGGTGGTGGTAGTGGTGGCAGTGATGGTGCTGCTGGTGGTGGTGGTAGTGGTGGCAGTGATGGTGCTGCTGGTGGTGGTGGTAGTGGTGGCAGTGATGGTGCTGCTGGTGGTGGTGGTAGTGGTGGCAGTGATGGTGCTGCTGGTGGTGGTGGTAGTGGTGGGTGGTAGTGTGATGGTGCTGCTGGTGGTGGGTGGTGGTGTGGCAGTGATGGTGCTGCTGGTGGTGGTGGTAGTGGTGGGTGGTGGGGTGCTGGTGGTGGTGGTGGTAGTGGTGGCAGTGATGGTGCTGGTGGTGGTGGTGGTAGTGGTGGCAGTGATGGTGCTGGTGGTGGTGGTGGTAGTGGTGGCAGTGATGGTGCTGCTGGTGGTGGTGGCAGTGGTGGCAGTGATGGTGCTGCTGGTGGGGGGCTTTTCTGGTGCCCGGAGAGCAAAGCCTGACTCGCAGCCTGGCTGTCACCGAGGGGCTGGCCGGGAGGACTCTGCGATGGCACAGGAAGGTTTCCTGCAAGCCGCAGATGGCGAGCAGACGGACAGGGACGGATTAGTGTTTCCAAGGCCTCAGCAGAGCGCACAAAGGTCCTGCCCACAAGGACTCATGCTGCAGGAGCAGGATCAGAGAGCCCCGAACCGGGCGCTGTTATCGACAGCGTAGAGGGTTTCTGTCCTGCCGCTACCTCTGTCCAGGGAGAGGGCTCAGGAGGCAGGCGGCTGGACGAGAACCTGTGGTGGGGGCACGGCGCGGCAGGGTGAAAGTGCCGGGCATCCTGAGGAGGGCAGAGAGGAGGCAGCGAGGGGAGTCCCCCGGCAGGGCCAGGGCAGGGGAAGGCACCTGCAGGAGCAGGGCTTTGGAGCAGATGCAGCTCCCGCTCCTGCTGACCCCTCCGAACCCCCAGAGAGACACAGAGGGATGACGACGACGCCTTGGGAAAGCTGCCCCACAGCTCCCGAGCGCTGTCGGAGCAGAGCTGCCGCAGGCCTCCCCTGCCAAGCACCGGCGCGGGGAGGAGCGAGAGGCTCCCGGGTTGGAGCCAGCATGCTGGCAAAACTCCCAGCCCCAGGTGTGTTTTTTTAACTTGGCCTTCTCCTTCTTCTCTGCAGAGTAAAGACCGAGACAGGAAGACGGCGATTCGGAGCTAGATGATCATAGTTTTCAGGAAGGACAACAAGGAGGAGCAGAAGGAGGAAGGATGGAAAAGCCACACACACAAAATCACAGCCACGGACACTCCTGCCTTCACCCTGCTGCTGGGGAGAGCTTGCACGGCGTCACCCCGGAGGACCTTACCCTGACCCGGACACACGCCTCAGGAGAGGCCGGGCGTCCTCCCAGCTCGGAGGGGTGACTGCAGACGGGAGGCGAACATGGACGCGGGGGCGGCAGGACATTGCAGGACCGCGCGTGGCGGCTCGGAGGAACGCTCGCTGCGCAGGGACGCTCCGCGACAGCGCAGGCAATGCAGCCGCTGCCCGGCAAGCCAAAGGGGCAGGGGACCTGCTCTGGGGCTCCTTGGAAGGGGAGTCCCTGCCCCGGTCTCTGCGGATGCCACGCACGGCTGCTCCCGGGGGAGAGCCAGTGCTCGGACGTGCCCCATCCCAGGTCTGACTTGAGCAGCGCTGGTGAAACCGCTTACGGAAACACCCTGCTCTCCCCGTCCCCTTCCAGCTTTGAGCCACTCCATCCCCTGAACTCTGAGTCCTGGGGTGCTGCATTTGTTGAGTTTAATCAATACATGCTGGTGTTTCATGTCATTGATATGATAATATAAAGCCTGAGCAATTTGTATAATTAAAAATGAATATGGTTCAGACTCACGGCAGGAGCTTCCTTCCTTCCAGAGCCCCCGACCCCCCTCACACAATAAACCTCTGGTTTCACCCTCACCCACACTGGCTTTAAACACCGTCCGGTCAGCAAGCGATTGAGCCACAGCTCAAGGTCTGCTCCTCCGGCGACGGGCACAGCCCCTCCGCCTGCCCCCCTGCCCTCGGGACTGAGCCCCAGCGCAGGGTCCGGGTGGGGGAACCCTTCCCGCAGGGTGGCCCGGGGCGAGCACCGACCCCCATGTGCCATGCTCAAACCCAGCTGGAGGACGAGGTAGAAAGCAGGGACTTGGTGAAAACCAGATGCTGCAGCTGAGCTGAGTTTCCTGGGGAAATAAATTACACACATACGCCACAGCATCTCAGTGCTTGCCGGCGCTCCTCCAGGCAGCGCTCGCTCCGAGATTTCATGGGCCTCTGGCTGCAGGGCAGTGAAATGCTCCTCATGTCACCAAAACGGTGTCCCGAGGTTATAAAAAGCGCAAGATGGAGTAAAGGTTGAGCCCCAGCCCCCTTGAGCAGCAGGTGAAGGGCTGCTCGGCTGTCGGCCCCCTCGAGCAGCAGGTGAAGGGCTGCTCGGCTGTCAGCACGTCTGCGAGCCCCTCCTCGCTCCTGCCCGTGGCTCAGGAGCCCAACGGGGGTGAGCCCCGGTGCCAAACGGCTGCTGAAGTGTGGGGCCCCGGTGGGCCGGGGCTCTGAGCTCTGCCGGAGACATGAGCAACCCGCCCCGCGCGCACCAGAAACGCTGGCTT